TTTAATTAAATATAAAAAAACAATGGAAGAGAAAAAGAAAGGAGATTAAGAAGATATAACCCTAAAATTATATGAATATAATGCAGTTATAAACATCATATAATTAATCTAGCAGTATTTGAATGGAAGAGTAGGAGGTGAGACAGATAAGGGAGGAGAAGAAAAAAGAAGAAAAAGAAGAAGAAGAAGGAAGGAATTAAGAAATAATCGGGTTAGAGTGTTTTGGATATATATAGACTATTTTACCAATATGTAATATGTCGGAAATAATTTTACTGACAAAACCCACATAGGCAATTAACCTAAAAGCGGGAATCCAATAAAAACAAAAAATTTGCATTCCCGTCGAAATTCACCGTTGACCTGTGTGTGGTATATCGGAAATAATTTTACCGACAAAACCCACATAGGTAATTAACCTAAAAGCAGGAATCCAAAAAAAAACAAAAAATTTGCATTCCCGTCTAAACTCACCGACCAGTTTCAACGGAGGGTCTCGGCATGCAGACGACAATGAAAGGGGATGGGGGGTCTTGGCAAACGAGAATGAAAGGGGAAGGGGGGTCTTGGCAGACGAAAATGAAAGGGGAGGGGGGGTCTCGACAGACGAAAATGAAAGGGAAAAGAGGGGTCTCGGTAGGCAAAGGCGAAGCTCACCGACGGGTTCCCGTTGAAAACCCGTAAAGCTCACCGACGGGTACCTGTAAAGCTCACCGACGAGTTCCTGTTAGAAACCCGTAGAGCTAATTAACTCTGCATTGCTTCAAGAATCTGATTGACCAGGATCATCACCGACAAACTCGACGTTGGTGTGTAATGCAAATTACCGACGAGAATATTGTTGGAATTTATGAAAAAATTGACGCGAGTAGCCAATTCATTGTGCGGGGTTGAATTGTGAACTTACCGACAAGGATCACGTCGGTATATGAGTTACCGGTCCTCACGCCACCGGACCGACTTTTTTAGAATTTTACTGACAAGAAGCACATGTGTATATCATTAAATCACCGATAAAGATTTTATCTGAAACTTAAATAATATAAATTACTGTAATATTTACTGTTACTACATTTACAAATATGTTTCTTGTCGGTAAAGTGCTCATTTACCAATAACAAGTTTTACGTCGGTGATTTTCGGTTTTCTTGTAGTGCCCATTATCTGTTGGGAATTGAATCCCTATTGGGATCCTCATTTCCTACTATGTAATTTTTTTTTTCAAAAAAATTGCAAATCTAAAGAAAAATATAATTTGTTATTTAGTTTTTTTTTAAAAAAAAATTCATTTAATTTAATTATTTTGTATAAAATTAAAATTAAAATGTTTAATAGGTTAGGTTTAATTTTTTTTTCTCTTTTTTAAAAAATGGGTTTTAGAAGTTAGTTTTGATGGTCATGAGTTGAATATCAGGTTTTAATAGTGTTTAAAAATAAGAAAATTAGCAGAGATGAGGATCCTTATAGGGCTCGACAGTAATGAAAGAAAAATACCCCCCTTCTTTTCCCTATTCCCATGATCGAGATCCCCACAATAAATTAGGGAAATTGTCATCCTTAATTGCATTATAATGTGAGAAAAACTTGAGGAATCTCCATTAAAAAAATAAAAGACATAGGAAAGAAAAGATAAACTATATATACGATTGTTCCTTACATATCAGTGTTAATATGCAACAGAACCTCCACAAAGTCCTTCTTGCCCTTAAATGCTACAATTAGCAATGGTGTGCTAACGTTAGCCATTGTATTAAAGTCAACACTTTTCTTTATTAAGAGCCTTAGGAGTTTCTTAGATCTTGCAGCAATCCAACAAATTTGAAAATTTTATATTGCAATGCAACCAAAGCAAATGCGAGAGAAGAAGTTCCAAACCCACAAATTGCAAACTAATCATGCAAGTAGAAATCGAATTTAGTATCATCAATTGCATCGTCATTAAGAGATACAGTTGAATTATTGTCGATATAGAAATATTAAACTTTAGAGTTAGAGTAAAAATTTACTTA